GGGGGGGCAGGCGGTGTGTGAAGCACGCCGTCGTCGCCGAGCTCGTCCTTCGGAATGGAGTGGAAGACGCCGATGGCGCCGATCGCGATCGGCACGTGCCTATACGTAGCTGAGTACGCCTGTCCTCGGGTGCTGAATGCCTGCCGCGGTGAATAGAAGACAGGCAGAGACAGTGAATTCGGCTGTGAATACGATCGAATATACACACAGTTGAATACGGTCTCGCGACCGGCACGTGCCCATTCGTGCACTGAGTACGCCAGCCTCGGGGCGGGAAGACGGTATTGTGCAGCTCATGAAGAGCACCGCGTGAATACAACGAATACGAATACAGTAAATGCCGCGGAATTCAATACGGGTGAATACAGCTGAATACGTGTCCTCTCGAGCGCTGGTTGGACGACAAGAATGTGCGTCTTCCGCTTCTATCGGTACGTGCAGCATCGTGCGGTTCGCCTCCTTGAGGGCGTTGAAGTTGTCCTCCGACATGGGGATGTCGCCCGCTCCAAAGGCCTGCATCATGGAGTCGTACTTCACGACCTAAGCAAGAACACAAGGCTTCACATCGCACACGCTCTCGCGCGTCACGGGCCGTCGTGGGACGCCGAGGGCCTTGTCGTCCGGACCTACGAACTCCTTTTGGCCGGTCGAGGAGCCGACAGCGCGGTAGGTGAGGTGCAACGGCTCCTTGGCCATGCACTGCATGAGCTCCATGGTCTGCGAGGACGGGGAGGGCAAAGCGGTTGGAAAGCGGCGCGCCGCGCGTGTGCACATGCTCGTGTCGGGTCGGGTCCGAGATCATGCGCGCCTCCCAGAACATGCGACGCGGGTTGGTGGTGCCCGAGCCGGCCATCACTGTGGCCGATTTGCCGGCATCATACGCAAGCGCGTTGGCGACGAGCGAGAGCATTTTGCGAAAGGCAGGCAGGGACACGTGTTCTGCTCGAGATGTCCTTCAAAAGAATTTTACAAGGCCTCGCCGTCCTCGCCCGCCCCCGCCACAGGCAAGCTCATTAACAACCTGCAGTTGTACCTCTCGCAAATTAGAATGTGGAGTACCCAATCCACATTCCACATTCTAATGTGCACTCTGTTTGGGCGTGGGGGTGGGCTGGCCACCCTCCGCTGCGTCCCACCGCGTGTGCACCGGCCACAACGCTGCCACATAGCAGCGAGGCTCAAGTCAGTCTTTGTCTGATTGCCAATGAAGTGTGTGTGTGTGTGGGTGGGGGGGGGGGTCTCCGCTGAGGACCTCTCATTGAATGGGACCTCTGCCTGAGGACCTCTCGTGAGGACCTCTCGTCTGGCTGAGTGAGGACCTCTGTCTCTCGCGCGCGAAGACCGTTTGCGCCACCCACTCTCTCCACTGCCCCATGCGGGGAGGCCGCTTGAGAGGCCATGAGCATGACAAGAACGATCGGCCTCAGTCACCGAGCCGGCCGCAACAGCGCAAGTCTAGGTTCTTCAACATGGCGCTGGCGACACAACTATACACACGAATAACCTGTGTCACCCGAAATCCAGAGTGTCACTCCAGATCCATAAAATGTCGCATTTGCAGCGCATTTTGTTGCAAAAAGAGGGCAAATGGTTGTTTTTAACCAATACTCCCCTGCCCCTGGGGGAGCATGCCCCATGCTAGACTTCTCTAAAAGGCATTTCTCTCTTTCCGTTCCGCACCCGGAAGGGTAACCCATTTCCG